CTCTGCCACACTGAGAGTGGCTCTGACATGATGTATTTGGCCCAGGACCCTGAGAGGGCAGGGCAAGGCCATGACTCCAGAGTAGTTTGGGGCAGAGAGCAAGTCAGCTCTGGGCTGCCAGAAAGTCATCCTTAGTGTGATCCACCTGTGCAGAGAGGGTGAGGAGGAGGTGTGGAGCAGAGCCCCGGCTTAAGGGGAGACAGCCTGGAGCTATGCCTCCTGTAGCCCTTGGGCTGGGCTGGGCTCCCCACCTCTTTCATGCCTGCTTTCTCAGATATGGGAGGGGCCTCCAAGCTCATCTGCTGCTCTGGTCATGAGGGTGACAGCCAACTTATGAGCTTGAGTTTGTTCCTGGTTCTCCCTGGTAATATCCCACCATCCTATCCCTATCCTCCTGGGAGACCAATCTGGGTCGATACACCATGGCTGAGCTTAGACTTGTGAAGCAACTAAATGGAGACTCTTGTTTTCTGCCATGACCCTGCTCTTGTCCACCACTGCCACCCACAGAGAAATATGTTCTCATTCTCTGGTGACCTCTCTGGGCACACCCCATAAGGCTGACACAGGTGATGGCCATGTGAGCCTTAGACCATGAACCAGGGCCTTGTTTTGTGTCACTATCTCATGAACCACTCTTAGATATGAGTGCAGGTGACTCACTATACGAAGCAGAGGAGCCGATAATGATAGGGGGTGCTGGCAAGGACTACACCTGGTGTCTGCACTCTGCCTTGGTCCCGGTTCAGTAGAACTCATGAGATGGGCACCATTCCACTCCTCCTCTTTTGAAAGCAGGGCTGCAAATGCTCCAGCTGCTGACTGGGGCCTCTTTGTACAAATATTGCCTGGGCCACCAACCCAAGGAGCTTCCCTGTGTTGCCCAGGAGGAGAGACAGTTTCTCACTGGCACTCTCAAAGGAGCCAGCCAGGCTTAATCTTGTGCGTGCCTTCCCAGCCTCAGAGGAGACACGGGTGTCTGTGATGCATTAGGAAGACACTGTTGGAACAGGGTCACCCACAAATACCCAGATTTTATTGGTCACCTGCATGGGTGCCTATGTGTGTGTGTGTTGGGGGGTGTTAGAGGGACCTAGGAAACATGTCTGGGAATGGACCCTCCCATTCTCAGAGCAGGAGCTCAGGCATATGAACCTGAACCCAAAAGGTACCATTGTTGTGAGCGTGTTGTGTGTGAAGGAAGGTAGGTGATGAGGAGGTAGGAACAGAGGCACTGTATGCTGTCCCTGGCCGACTCACCTTTGCCCTCAGGCATTTAGGTGTCCTTTTCACCACCTCCTGGAGCTCCTTGACCTGAAAGCAGATCCGGAACCACCCATAGATATCAGCCATCATCAGTGACCAAGATGTAGACCTGCTGGACTACTTGACCAATGTGGAGGTCCGAGTGGGAGGCAGAGTGGAGGCTGGGATGGGCGGCCCTGTGGTCCGGTGTGAAGTCTCTGAGCAGAAAAAAGAAGGGGAGGGTGGGGGGGGGGGTGGTTCCTGTAAGCAGGCTCACTCAGGAAGCTGGTGGACAAGACACTTAACTAGTTGCACCTCTTGGCAGGTGAAGGAAGGGAGCCCTCCCAAATACCTCTGCAGGTAAAAGTTTTTCTTCCTGAACGAAGTGATCATTAAGCAATATGAGATCAGCCCTGCAGGTGAGTGACAGTTCCTGGGATGGGCCTTTGGAAGAACAGGCATATTAGGAATGTGGGCTGGGGGGTGGAGGGAGGGAGGAGAGGCTAAGTGGGGGAGGAGGAGGGAAGCAAGGATGTTAGGGGAGGGAGGGGCAGTGTGGAGGCTGGATATCTGGCCCATGAGAATCCAGCCTTCCAACATCCTTCCTGCAGGGTACAGGGCCTCTGGTTCCACTCCAATCCTCTGGCAGGGGATTATGAACGAGGAGCCCCCAGCCACAGGCAAGACACAAGCAGCTTCCGCTTCTTCAACTGGTTGTGTGATCACTCCCTGCCAGGGTCAGGCAAGATTGCTGAGGTGATAGTGCTCTGGGCAGGGCCAAATAGAGGGATGTTGGAAGCCCCACGTGCGTGGAAAGCACATTTAGCAGACTGGTCCGATCCCCCTCTGCCCTATGTTCCTTCCAAGATCATCAGCGAGGACCTGTGGCAGAATCCTCTGCAGTACTATGCAGGACCCAGAGGAGGCAGCCCCGCAGCAGACCTGTGGGAGAGGAGCCCACCTGCTGGACATTGAAAGGTGAGTAGTTGCCCCTGTGGATCTCCTTAGAAAAGCAAATGTGGAAGAGGAGGCCTGGGTAAATTGCAGGTAGCCTAGTGCACCAGAAATGTGTGCAAAGGGAAATTGGGAGGCCCTGGTGCCTACAGAGTACAAGCATGGGGGTGAAGGTGGACGCGTTCTAAGCACACCAACACTTATAGGATGACTGGCCCAGGGCCTTGGGCAATACACGTGATTGTGGTTCCTCACCATGTCTCTGCAGTCCTGTTGCGGGTGCTTTCGCCACCCGCTTAGGCCTACTGCCACTGGAGGGGAGTCCTGCCTTCCCACACCCTACCAGTTTCTAGTGCCTCTAATTCACATTTCATTCTGCTTTCCTACCAACCCTCCCAGCTCCCCTCAGCTGAGCCTATGATGCTGGCAAATGGCAGCAGACTTTCTGGATGACAACAATTAAAGAAGCCAGGAAAGGGCAAGGTGTACTGAATGTGGACACCATGCTCCAGAGGGGCCCAACAGACACACACACACACACACACACACACACACACACACACACACACCTTCAAGCACATGCCAGGGTCTGAGAGTGTGGGTGTGGGTCTATAGTAGGGGACACTCCCGATTCAGAGGTGATGGGGCAGAAACTGTGCAGTGTGCCCACACAGCAAGGCTGGCTTGGCTGAGGGGTTCTGTCCATTCCCTTTGCTCAGGAGGGAAAAAGAAGTATGAAGTATTGGGCTCTTGGATATTTTTGGGCTGCAGTTGGGAGGCAGTTGCCAGTTGGAGAAAATGAGGGGTAGGATTATGTAGTTTATTTCTTATCTTTTCATTGATTGGAGGACATGTGCAATAACCAAATTGTGTGGCCAGAAAAATGCCCTTGCGCATAGCACCTGCTGGTGCCCTAAATCCCTGAGTGTATGCACCTATTTTCCCCAAACATAGTGTCACAAGCAAGAATCCTGATTAGGATAGTGACAGGTATCTGAGGAGTGAGCTCCACAAGTTATCAGACTGAGTATTTTTTTTTTAATATTTCAGAGAGGAAAGTAGAGGGAGAGCATAATAGAAATATCAGAGATGAAAGAGAATCATTGACTGGCTATCCACTGCACACTGTTGGGCATATGCCCTGACTGGGAATTGAACCTTGACACTCAATCACCGAGTCAGGCCAGCCAGACACTTGATTACTTTCACCACCCGAGCCACATGGCAAGTAGGCTGGGTTTAAAAAACTTCAGGTATCTCCAGTCATTTGAGTTACCTTAGTTCTCAAGGAAACTTTAAGTCACAGAGGCCATCAAGATGCAGTAATAGGTATAAGTCAGATTGCCAAAAAAGCTGTTAAGGACTTCATGTTGAAATACAGGAAACTGAGACCCCAGAGTTGAGAGCCACAGATGATATTGAAGCAGAGTTGTTGTTTGAGATGTAGGACCCTGCATAGATTGTAGAAGTCATATCCAGGATGAAGTGCTGGCAGAAAGAGAAGTGGTGGCCATTGAGGAGTTTTATGGTTACCACAGAGAAAGTGGAGGAGCAGTGGGAGTAGGAGGAGGGGCTGGAATGGGAGTTGGTGTAGGAGGCAAATGGGTAAGGGCAGAAAAGATAGAACTGTGGGAGGGGAGTGTGGAGGAGAAGATAGTTGTGGAGGAGGATTGAGAAGAAGGTCAAGGGAAAAAAGGGGTGGTGCATTTGAAGAAAACAGTGAAGGAGGAGCTGGTAGATGGGAGGAGGTTATGCCAGAGCTGGAGGCTGTGGGGAAGGAGTTGGTGCTGGATGTAGAGTTTGTGCTGGAAGTGGAGGACACTCTGCAGGTAGTGGAAGTGTCAGCAAAGGATGAAGTGGTGGTGGAAAAGCAGGAGTTTGGGCCATAGCTAGAATTGAGAAGGAGGTGTTGACTGAAGAGCAGTTAGTGGAGGAGAAGAAGTGTTGGGTTAGAGCAGGAGCCTGAGAGTGAGGAGCATTAAGTGGAGTAGATGGAGGGAGAAGTGGCAGTAGCTGATGAGATTTTGGGGGAACTGGAGGTAGGGATGGAGGAGGAAGTGGTGGCTGAAGAGCAGTTTTTACAGGAAGAGGACAGTGAGATGCAGCAGGGGCCTCAGGAAGAATGGCTGGAGAGAGAGTTGGTGTCACAGGAGCAGTTTTTCGTGGAGGGTGAGTACCTCATGCAGGTAGTGGAGGCTGTACCAGGGAATGAAGTGTTGGTGGCAGGGGAAGAAATCTTGTTGGAGCTGGAAGTGTGGAGGGAGGTAGAGGTAATGGTTGGAGAGGAATTGGTGGTAGAGGAAAAGGATCATGAGATCCAGCAGCAACCATATAGGGAGCAGGGGTGGGAGGATGAGGGGATGGAGAGGGAAGTGGAAATAGAGGAGATTTTTTTGGAGCTGGCGGTAGGAAGGGAAGAAGAGATGAAGGCTGAGGAGGAATTGTTGCAGAAGGAGGAGCATGAAGTCCAGGAGGGGGAAGAAAGCAAGGAACAGTGTAGGGAGGAGGAAGGTCTAGATGAAGTTGTGATGGCAAAAGGGCAGTTTTTAGAGAGGGAGGAGAGTGAAATGCAGCAGGGTCCAGTCAGTGAGGAGCACACAGAAGACAAGGAGGGCCTGTGGGGGGAGTTGGGGGCACAGGGACAGTTTTTCCTGTGGCAGGAGGGGATCATACAGATAGTGTGGGTGATGCCAGATCAGGACATATGGGTAGGCGAGGAGGTCTTCCCAGATCTGCAATTGGGGAGGCAGGAGGAGGTGGTTAGTGAAGAGCTAAGGCTGGAGGAACAGGCTCCTGGAATCATGCAAGGGCCAGACTGCCAGGAGGAGGAGTGGGTTGGGGAGCAGTTAATTGCAGGGGAGCAGTTTGTCCAGGAGGGGGAGAGGGAGGGCACCATGGAGGCAATGGAGCTGGTGGGAGAGGCAGAACCACAGTCAGAGGACAAAGCAAAGCCACAAAAAGCAAAGCCAGTGCAGCAGGAGCAGGCCCAGCCAGATCCTGCTGGCAAGTGCACCTGGTCCCCACTCGAGATGCTCCAGGCCCTTCAGTTGGAGATGGAGCCCATGAATGAGCAAGCCAGAAGAGCCTTCTCTCGGCTCAGGCGCAGGATGGGGCAGAGGCTCAAACCCTATTTGGAACGGAGAAGCCTCAATATCCAGCGCATTCCTGGATTCTGGGCCACAGCTGTATCCTTGAAATTAGAGGCATGGGACCCCAAGGTGCATGGGACAATGCAGGAAAAAGGTGCCAGCGGGGATAGTTTGGATGGAAAAGAGACACAGTGGAGAGAAGCTCAGGGTAGTGAGCCCCAGTCTGACTCAGGATCATGGTGACAACCTCTCTCTTTTATCGGCACCGCAGAACCGATAAATGCAGGTCCAGGGCCAGAGCTCCAACACAGATGCACTCATAGACCAGGGGCTGTTGCCCACAGATGGGGCTATTTTGCATAGGGACTTCCAGGACTAACCAAGGTTTTCCCTGGCTTTCTGTATGTCCAGCTCCTCAGTCAAAAGCAGCTATGAGTGATGTGTACCCTGACAAGCCCTCAGCTTGCAACCATCTGCTGGGCATCGGGTCTGTCAGGAAACAGTGGCACTGTGGCCCGTTTATGGAGAGAGAGTGGCCTTAGGGGAAAGAGAGGCCAGACTAACTGCACTTTCTAGCTCTCCATGTCCAGCATCCAGAGTTCAGGCTCCTTGACACAAAGCAGTTTATCAACCACCCGGTTTTGTCCACCATGATCGGCGTGCAAGATGAAAACATGCTTCGCCACATGATCGACTTGAAGGTCAGGCTGCCCACTCCAAGGAGCAGTGGGAGGGCAGGAGATTGAATGGCCTGTCTCTGGAAATAGCTAAAGGTGGGTGCCCTGGGCTGCGACTTCACTATCTGGATCCACTTTTCTTCTGCAGGTGAGGGAAGTCAGACATTCTGAGAATTACTGCACCATCAGCCTGTACTTCCACAGCAACCCCTACTTTGTCAACAATGTAATTGTAAAGGAGTATCTTATCACAGTCACAGGTAAGAGGAGGTCCCTGCATGGGCCATACCTGGTGGTGGGCAGAAGTTGGGAGGCGGTGCCCCCTGTGTCACATACCCTTCTCTTGCAGGATACAGGGCGTCCCGTGCCACTCCCATTCAGTGGTACCAGCATTGTGAAAGGGAAGCTTACAGCCACAGGCACCAGGACAGCACCCTCACCCTCTTCAATTGGTTCTCTGACCACAACTTAGCAGGATCTGGCAGGATTGCTGAGGTGGGAAATCACTGGCCATGCTAGCACACAGCTTTGTGTGTGGCCCTGCTGCTTGAGTGTGTAATCGGGTCCCTGACCTCCCTGACCCAGCCCTGTTTGCCCTACCAGATCATCAGCAAGGACCTATGGCTCAACCCCCTGAAGTACTATGAGAGGACAATGGCTTCAGGTGAGTGGATGGGACTGGGGAGGAGGGACAGCCTGGGCTCTCACCAAGTGTGCTGCCAGGAGCTGGGCCCCTATTTTTCTCTCCCAGGGACTCCTGGAGGCTGGGAGAGATACAGCCTGTGACACTGGGTCCTGAGGGCTTGGGTGTGAGACAGGAACTACCTGCACCACAAGGCAGTGCAATTCTGGTTCAGACAGGAGAGGCTTACGCAGGAGGAAGAAGGGTGCATGGCCACTGTCACTCAGAATAAAAGCAGATTCCTTGAGTCTCTCCTCTGAACTCTCCCTCCAGGCCATGCACCCCACTCTAAGGCCTTGGACTGGCAGAGCATGTTTGACCTACACCCCTTTCCACAGATGTCTGTGAATCTTTACAGGCAAAGGTCTAGGATGCTGTGCCACCATGCCACATTTTCTCTATTGCTGCTCACTTCCATCACCTATTTCCCTAAGTCTCCTCTTCCTCTGTGGGCCAGCCAGAGAGGCCTGCTCTTTACCAGTATGTTATGGTGCAAATTGTCAGCCATAGAGCTAGAGGAATCCTTTGTGATCCCAATTGCCTTTTCATGTTTGGGTAGGGAATGATTACTTAATACTCTTTGATAATGCTCAGAAGGGATGATACCAACCCTTTTGGTGTGTTTAGGGGAACTCCCAGAGTTGCTGAGGAATATGAGGGACTGTCTGCTTTACTTCCAATGACAGTAGAGAAGATTAGGTGCTTTTTTCATATAAGTATGTACTTTCAAGAAGATGTGGTTTTCCTGCACAGGAAAGAGGTGAAGAGGATCCCTGCGGCAAGACACTCAGACATGAAGACATCCAGAACATCCAATTACATGGAAAGTAAAATAAAATAGCATCAAATCTGCTTGCCTGTGTGTGGTTTGTGCATAGGTTGTAGCTTTTCTATGGACTTTCTGGAAATCCAGTTCATGTGAGGGAAGGTAACCCTTTGAAGTTGCAGAAGTGGGTAAGTTAGGCCTTGGGGTTGCAATGGGAACCCAGAATTTTTCCATGTAATAGAAACTGGGGAGGTCCAGTAATGTGGACTGAGCTTTTTACTCAGTGAGACAAGGAAGTTCAAGAAAACAGTGGTGGAGAAGTTGGTGAAGGAGCATAAAATCCAGCAGGAGCCTATTAGTGGGAGCAAGGGCCTAAAGGTCCAGTAGTCTGGATGTCCAAGTATCCTCCCTAGGGGAAGGCAGTTCGCACATTCAGAGAAGGAAACCTAGAGGAAGTCTGGATGTCCATTTCACAGTTGAATCAATGCTTTCCATAGTTATGGCATGTACACATCCACAGTCAGAGACATATGCTTCTACACAAAGTTGTATTGGATCATCTTTGGTATCAGACATGCACTAATCCAGAATACTTTGACTTAAGACAGTCTATTGTGCCAAAACTAGTTGGTTCAAGTCCAGTCAAGAAAGTGTATCTTGGTTACAGGCACATCCCATTGGAGAGTGTGCAGGAGGCAGCTATTGCTGTTTTTCTCTCATCAATGTTTCTAACTCTCTGTCCCTCTCCCTTCCTTTCCGTAAAAGCAATAAATAAAATATATTTTTAAAAAGACAGCCTATAGTGTGTAGGTTCATTACAACAAGAGTCCAGTTGGATTTCAGACTATGTATATTAAAGTTTAGCGCAAGTCAAGTGAAATGAAAAAGGACTTGGGATGAAAGAAACAACAGGAGAACATAAGCAGTTCTCTGTTATATCTATTTAGAAATATTACATAAAAAAAGACCAACTAGGGCTGCTTTTGCTCACTGGGAAGTGAAGGTTATAGTGACAAAGTGAGCCATGGTGGGTGTTTAAGCTCACTGGGAAGTGAATATCATAGTGACAGAGTATACAATGTTGGGACTTCTTTGATCACTGTGATGTGAAGGTCACTAGGACACAGTTCGCCAATATTGGGATGCTTTACCTCACTGGATCTGAAGATCACTGTGACAGAGTGGGCCATGGTGGGATGCCTTAGCACATTAAGAGTTGAAGGTAACAATCATAGAAGTGAGACTCTGTGGTGCTGTTTTAGCACATTGAGAGTAGAAATCATTGTGATAGAAATTATGCATGGTGGGGCTGTTTAATTCACTGAAATGAAGTGAGCTATGGAGGGGCTGCTTTAGCTCTCTAGGAAATGAAGGTTACAATGACACAATGAGTCATAGTGAGGTTTCTTTAGTTCACTGGATAGTGAAGATCATAGTGTCTCAAGTGAGCTATGATTGGGCTGCTTTAACTCACTAAGAAGTGGAGGTCACAGTGATAGAATGAGCCATGGTAGGGCTGCTTTAGCTCACTGTGATGAGAAGATTACCATGGCAGAGCTCGCCAAAGCAGGATGATTTAGCTCTCTGGGATGTAAAGGTCACTGTGATAAAGTAAACCATAGTGGGGCTGCTTTAGCTAAATGGAAAGTGAACTTCACAGTGATAGTGTGTTATGGTGGGGCTGCTTGTTACAGTGACAGAATGAGTCATGGTTGGGCAGTTCTCAGCTGCCTCGGAATTTAAAGATTGGATCTTTAAAGACAGGATCATGGGGTAAACCTTTGATTAGTTGCCATTGTCCACTACTCCCCTGATCCATGTTTTATGGGAACCCCCAGAGTTGAGGAAAAAGTAAAATAATAAAAAAAATAATGCTTGATAAGGGTCATGTTTATGCTGCAGAGCAAGACTGCACAGACTCATTGTCCTAATGGCTTTTTATTGCTTTTTTTTTTCTTTACAAGAATATGAGGTGAATATCAGCAGAATATTCATCAGCATTTCAAGTGACTTTTTAAAAAAAATAAGCTTAAGCATCAAAATGAATGTATAGGAGAGTTTGAAATTATTCTTTGGTCTGTTTTGGTCTGTCTTAGGGCTCTTGTTTTTATGGTTTTTTTTAATTGCTTGTTCTCCAACTTCATCTGTCCTTATATTTAGCTGGCACAAATGGCATTAAGTGGGTCTTTATTCTTCACTTTCTCAGGCCAGAGTGATTTATGCTATATTCTGTGGTTAGGGAAGAGGATATAGACCATTTGTTCTCAAATGTCTTTGGTTAGGCAAGATAAGGTCTTGTAATTTATTATACAAGCTGGTTATACTAGTAAGTTGACAAACTTTGTGGCTTGTTTAATTTTCTTTTCTCAATTTTCCCATTCCACTTGTTCAGGTATTTTCTAAACTTTTTACTATCCTGCCTCACTCTGATTCATAGTGTCAGTACACTTTGCCTTAATTTGACATGTTTACTTTTCTTCACATCATTATGGTCTTCATCTGGTCTCTGTTGTTTATCTATGAGGTTATTTTTAGATATAAAGAGCACATGGAAAGGTGAGTAGATCTTTGGATGGGGTTTAATATCCAGGTCACTCACCATGAATTAAATAGTTTCTTTGCTGACACTATGTTTAGTATTATTAATTTTCAATAGACTTATGTTCTTTGTCCCAGGCCCTCTATTAGTTCCATACTTCAACATGTAAACAATATCAACAATAGTACCATTAACTTTTTTATTAAAAATATATTGTATTTATTTCAGAGAGAATATGAGCTGGAGAGAGGTAGTTTGAGAATCATTTCAGGTCTATGGATAGTCAAGCTAAAGGAAGCAAGAGGTCTTGTAATCAATAAAGTAGAATGGCGGAAGGCCACTCTGAACATCAACCTAATTGGGATGTACAAAGACTCTGAGCCTGGAAACATAATTAGGCCAAGATGCCAAGGCAGTGCAAAGTTATAGGGTACACTGTACCCATCAGTAGTCAAATGATTTATATCACTGTTGGCAATAAGCCTTCTTTGTCTCTTGAATAGTATACAGGTTTCAGACCAAGAGAATGAGAAGAAGTCTGCTAGAGAGAGCAGATGAGCATAGCTAGAAGGAGCTCAGAGAGTGAGATAGCAGGCACAGAGAATGTAGCTCTTCAGTGTGCAGGAAAAAGAGAGCACAGATGGAGTTGATACTGCTCTGATGTAAGAATAAGAGCTCACAGATAACTCAGAAATAGCTACCTTGTTATCAGCCAGTGAGCTGAGCAAGGGAGATAGGAGAATCTGCTGAGAAAGAGAGCTTAGAGAAGCTCTAAGGAAGAGATCAGGTACTTCTATGTAAAGCTAGGAGTCTAAGGGGCAGCATGTTGCTGCTCAGATAATAGCTGTAGGTACAGAGACTGATGCTGTTTTATGGGAAGGACATGTATTTACTAGACAATGTCTGGCTGCCTGCCTATATGGAATTTGATGTATAGGACTGGATTTATTTTTTTAAAAAAAGTATTTATTGTTCAGATGTTCCTCTTTTCCTCCTTTCTCACAGCTTCCCTCCACCCAATTCTCCCCCATGTATTCCATGCCCTTATCCTCCCGCCACTGTCCTCATCCATAGATGTAAGATTTTTGTCCAATCTCTTCTGCACTTCTCATATTCCCTTCCCACTGAAAATTGCCAGTCCACTCCCTTTCTATTATATTTATAATATAATTCTATTATATTCAGTTTATTCTGTTCAGATTTTTTATTCACTCAATTTTTAGAATCACTTGTTGATAGACATGTATATTTGTTGTCACTTTGTTGTTATTAATTTTTATCTTTACCTTTTTCTTCTTCTTCCTCTTCTGAGAACATCCTTCAGCATTTCATATAATCCTGACTTGATAGTGATAAACTTCTTTAGTTTTTTCTTGTCTGTGAAGTTCTTTATCTGACCTTCAATTCTAAATGATAGCTTTGCTGGGTAATCTTGGTTCTAGATTCTTGCTATTCATCACTTTGAATATTTCTTGCCACTCCCGTCTGGCCTGCATAGTTTCTGTTGACAAAGCAGTTGACTCCCTTGTGGGTAACTAATTGTTTTTCTTGTGGGTAACTAATTGTTTTTCTCCTGCTGCTTTCAAGATTCTCTCATTGTTTTTTGCCCTTAACATTTTAATTATGATGTGTCTTGGTGTGGTCCTCTTTGGATTCCTTTTGTTATTGGCTCTCTGT